GGTCAAGCCACCTGTCTCCCTTCAGTTGAAAATGTCAATTTAATAAAATTGCAGTTTCATAAGCACGACTTTTCAATATCATAAAATTCTGGAAGCAAACAACCACGGTTTGAGTCTCAGTCTTTCAATAAAATGTTTTATTAAGAATTCAGGACTCTTACAAATACACTTTCACGCTCACCATCACATTCAAGAATTCAAATTCAGCTATTTCTGAGTCTGTATTTTCCTCTAAAACAATAAATTGCAAGATGTCTAAAGATTTGAAACAAATCTCATCAAATCAAGTTGCAAGCAGTAAGTTCAGAAAGAAAAGGTTACCGAGACTTTTAACTTCTTTTCCGTCTTACAATATATTTCACTCTCTTGATCAAATCATGTTATTATTTCTTACGAGGCTTTGATAGAGAAAATGGCCAAAGAACGTCCAGATAGTTGTTGGCGGAGGCGAAGTGGCAGATGCATTACTTTGGATAAACAAAAAGTTTTCAACTGTAATGCTTGTTTTGGCGTCAACAATTGAATTTTAATTGTAATCTTTGATGCTTGCAAACTATATTATCTGTCTGGTCAAGAGATGCTAAATTTCTGAGGCAGACATTATCTCAGAAGAGTCTGTATTGAAGTTGGCTTCTGCATTAAAGAACAAGATCAATGGAGCATTTGCTACTTTGAGTTACATTGCATCAGGAAGGAAGGTGAAGGGAATTTATTTATTTATTTATTTTTTTTAATATTTGGCTTGTACTTCTCATCAATATTGGGTAGTTACCATGGTTTATTGACGCTGTTACAAGATTGTTCAAGTTTTAAGCAAGGTTATTGACGTTGTTACAAGATTGTTCAAGTTTTAAGCAAGGTCTCAGAAAGATAACATGAGAGGACTAAGGTCGGCTATGAACATGTTCGGTATGCAATATTGAATACAATTTGATGTAAAATAAAGAAATGAAATATAAACTTCTTTTCCTTTGACAATAACTAGTCTCAACCCCATAAAATAGTGTTGATTATATTTCTTGATTGTTATATGGCCTGTGATCATTGGCTAATAATCTTAATTGAAAGTTGGCGTTTGAGTTTAAAAAATATATATATATAAATAAATAAATAAAATCTATCTTCTCCCCACAAATTCTTGCATTTTTTTTCATAGGTGACATCAAATTTGGTATGTAAAACACGTCGGTGGTGATTTGGAATTGCTTTTCGAGTCCAACTTCTGATTGTCAAAGAATCATGACTTATTTTTAGGCGTTCGATAAATTTAAGAAAAATTGATTATAGCAAAATTGTACTACAAATTTTGAGAAGTCGCAAAATGGTAACTTCTCAATTTTGCTTTAGTTTCTCCGGTATATGTCATAAAAGTACTAATTTTAACCTTCAAAGTTAATTAAATTAATTCATTTTCCACTCTATTGATTGTGCTTTTAAATAATCACTTTTCTTAGAATTGTAATTGCGAAAATATCATTAGTTGTCGACCCTTGGTTTATTTTATATTTTCTCAAACTAAACATTGGCATGCCAACGAGTGTTTATTAAATCTATCATAAAACTTATCCAAACTGATATTATTTTACTGCAAGATTTTGAGATTTTTTGCCTCTTCTTATAAAAGATTTATTTCCAAATTAAGCAAACATATCTTTACTCTATCATATCAATTAACTTGATTTATTTCATTCATGTCAATTAGCCATTTTTGAGGAAAATAAAAATGGAATATTCCCAGAATTCTATTTTGTAACCGATATAATTTCCTTTTGAATCACGCCATTTTCTTCATTTCCAAAAAAAATAATAATAATAAAAATAAAAATCCATCTCACTCTATTTAAGCTCCAAAAGAATGGACATTTCTTGTATTTTAAGAAAAACTTTGTCGAAAAAATCTCATCAATGGCACCTTGCAAATGGATTCGTTCATTTAAAGAAGACAATTCTGCATTCATGGTATTATATTCTGTCACTATATTTCATTTGTATTTTCCATTTCATCAAAAAGAAAATCATGTTCTTTTTGTATTTTTTTTCCTCCAGTCATGTATTCTGAGAGTAAATGTACATAGTCCAGGATGGCAAAAGGCAGTTAGGGGTGTGCTATCCAGTAGCCGAGGTACAAAATAATTAATTTCTTATAAAAACACTTATTTTCATGATATATTCTGATTTTATTTATTATTATTTTTTTTTGCGTATCGAATAAAGGAGTACGAAGTTTCAAGATGGATGAATTCGGCATTGTGCGCGTGTCAGGTTTGATTGATCCAAAATTACTTCTGAAGAAGCTGGGAAAAGCTAGAAGACATGCAGAATTATGTTGGTTTCAATTTGGACAGTGTTCGAGCAACTTATTTTTGCCGAACCACGATAATCCATACGGTTACTGGCTGAGCAGCTACGATGAATATGATCGTTATTTTCCTTTCCGACAAGCATTTCAAGAAGCTTGTTTAGAATCCTCGTACGAGCATGTGCCACCGCCAACGGCCTCGCCCTTGAGCTTCGAAAGCAGTGGCTGTTGCATTATCATGTAAAAAATGCCATCAACTTGGGACAAAACCTAGGATCTAGGATGAAAAAATGTTCTTTTTTATGATTTTTTTGTCCTATGGAATCCAAGTAGGGTGTCTGATTTTCTTCGTATAGTGGCCATGGTTTTTTTCTCAGTTGCTTTGTTATATAGAAGGAACTACCACCTCTCTTTTTCATGTGTAGTTGTTTTTAATGAATTGTTATGGTTTTGCTAAAACCAGTTTTTTAGTAGATTTTTTACAAAAGTTATGGTTGAAAAACTGTTAAAATTGTGGATCCTATGAAATGTGTGGTTGAAAACGAGTTCGAATAAAAATGTGTTTTAAGAAATGAGGACCAAATGGAGGCTTAGTGATCGCCACGAGATAATCCAAAGATTCCAAGTTATTATCACGAGCTTTCCAGTTTAAATGATGATGTTAACTCACCCTTGGAGAGAGTACCCGAGACACCACAATCATCGAGAAAATTGAGCAACTTTGAATAAAAAGAGTCGTAGTTCATCAAAAGAAAGGGAACATGGAGCATAGATCCATTTCTTTCGAGTTGAATCAATGCAAGAATTTCAAACGTTTCATCTAAAGTGCCGATCCCACCAGGAAGGGCAACAACAAGCGTACGATCAGAACCTGTAGCTATAAACCCAGTAGATATAACGTCCATGAGCCCGAGTCCAGCCCCCGGCTTGCAATCTTCCAAATAAAATAGTAATTGGAGAGCTTGAAATCTAGCAACTTGTGTATCTTCGTGCATCTGAAAAGGGATCTACTATTTATTTAGGTTTATATTCTCATTCGGATAATAAATTAATAAATTATTCATAATCATGAGCATCATTTTCTTTGCATAGTACGCTAAACTGGCGTCTTTCCCCAATATTGACGCTTTTGAAGCAATGTGTCTAAAAGATTAAGCCGTTAAGAAGAACATAAATTTATTTAGTTAGATTGTCTTCCACACGTTCCTTTATACAAGCAAGATACAGTTCCCCCGTCATCAAAAAGAAAAAAAAAGATACATTTTTTTTCTTGAAAGGCCCAAGAGTTGCACAATTTTCGTAAACATTTGCCTAAAGAACTCGAGCTATCCATTAGAGAAGAAATAAAATGCTGAAATTGCATCAAAACATACGTCATCTGGGCTTGTTCTCTCTTGAAAATTAATTCCCTCTAGTTTGCAGCAAAATAGCCTTCTTGATTGACCCCTACTGGTTTTGATAGTTTGAAATTTCCATTAAAAGACACAAACTTTTTTCCCCCTATCCTTTGATGTTGATATTTAATAAGATATGAATGGCCAAATGGGAAAGAATGTTTTTATTCCGATCCTACCTTATCCCCACCACAACTCCCCAAAATATCTGACAGTGCTCGAGCAAAGGGCTATCCTGCCCATTGCCATCCCTAATTCGAATAACAAATTCTTGAAAAATTTTGTACTTTGATAAATGTGTAACTAATTAACTACAAACCTAAAGTATTAACGCACTTTCTAAATCACATCATTTAATTTCTTTCGGCGTATAAATTAAATTTTTCATTATTTTCAAAACATAGAGTATCTAAACTTTCAAAAATTAAATTGAAACATAAAATTTGGTGACTAAATTGAAAGACTCTATTAATTCCTGACTAATGGTGTTTTTAACTAAGCATTTGTTTGACAGTATTTATTTGTTTATAAACAAGTAGAAATGAGTGACAATAAGTATATAGTACTTGTGAATTCGATGGAATATGTGAATAAAAATTTATTTGGCTTTTAGCAAATATTTATTTATAATACTCTAAGTTAAATAAAAAAGATTTTTTAAGTGGAAGGAAATTGTAAAAATTCCTACGGGCAAAGATCTTTTTGGTTAGGGAAACAAAACTTCTTGGGTCCGTATGTAATTTATTATAATTCTTGAGGGTCTCATACGAATATTCATAGGCATCTGGGTTAAAGACATAAGAAGGACAGCTTTATATGCTGCGGTCTGGCTTAAAATATTAGAGCATTAAAGTAATTAAATCAACTAGGCTTTTTAAGTGGGCTATCCACAATTTATACTTCTTCTATTGCGTGGCTTGAAGTTTGGACCGCCGATTCTTCCTCTGCAATAATTAGTGGACTCGCCGGAACCCTAGAAACCGCGACTTGCAACCATGGGTAATTTTTTATGCTTTTTTTTTTTTTTTTTTTTTTGTGTATATGTCCTTGGATTATTTCGATTCCCGATACATCTTGATGCATTATTTTTATGCAATTCACAGTTTGTTTTATTGAAGTCTGTATGACTGAAATTTTAAATTTTTTAGCAAATATGGTTTTTTAGAATGAAACGTTGTTCAATAAATCTGATTTAGAAAACAACATATACATTTTTAAATTTCTTGTTCAAATTTAAAAAAGATCGCACCTATGAATTTCCTACATTTCTATTCTAAGATACTAGTTCAGTTATTCAACCGTTAAACAGTTTATGAATATTTATGATAGATTGGCAAATGATAACTTTTGACTGTAGCTATGACAACATAGATCTGATTGATGTAACTTATTACTCCCATGTGATTGTTATTAGATTAATTTATTCTCTGTCTACTCATAGGTATGAGCTTGGAAGGCAACCTGCAAACACTAAGTTGTCAAGTAACAAAACAGTACGAAGGGTGAGGGTTCGAGGAGGTAATGTGAAGTGGCGTGCGTTGAGGCTGGATACAGGAAACTATTCTTGGGGGAGTGAAGCTGTGACCCGTAAGACCCGTATACTTGATGTGGTTTATAATGCATCAAACAATGAGTTGGTCAGGACCCAGACTTTGGTGAAGAGTGCCATTGTTCAAGTGGATGCTGCACCATTCAAGCAGTGGTATCTTCAGCACTATGGAGTTGACATTGGTCGCAAGAAGAAGACAGCTGCCAAGAAGGAAGGAGAAGTAATGAACTATCTTTCTTTTCCGTTGCTTTAGGATATACTTTACTCAGTACTTTTTGTTAGACTCGAAAGTGTTTCATAAATTTTTATTGCTCACAGAGCACATTTTACTCCAATTAGATACTAATATAATTAGGTACATATTAGTAGCTGAACTGTGAGTTGATGGACAAGATTGCAATGCATCGAGACTAACAATGAAGCTATATAATACATTTGAAGGCATCATTGAAGACATTTCTAAAGACCAGGGAGCAATTGGGAAAAACGTGTGAAGTAGAGTTACCAAAATACACATTCTATATTGCATTTTAACTCTATTGGTATCAATATCTATTATTTGCTAATAAAAATGTAAGAGATATTTAAGTTGGAGTTTCTTATCGGGATTAGGGTAAAATAAGAAATTGAGCGATCCAGTCTGGGAGGCATAAGAAATGTCTTGACATGATTTAAAGGAGGAAGATGCCAATTGCGTGGACATATTTTTTAATATATGCTCTTGTTTTAAACAAAGTCTATTGAAGAATATCTTTTCAAAGCTTCTTAATAACTGTTGTTTGCTGGGATTTAATTAGGATACTGATGCTGCTGCTGCTGAAGAGACAAAGAAGAGCAACCATGTCCTGAGAAAAATTGAAAAGCGTCAACAGGATCGCAAGCTTGATCCCCATGTTGAGGAGCAATTTGGCAGTGGCCGTTTATTAGCTTCAATCTCTTCACGCCCTGGACAGTGTGGGCGTGCTGATGGGTATGTATCGTCTTTTGCATTCCTTTTTATCTCATGGCTACTGAAATGTCAAAGGCCAAATGTCTCTTTTTCATTTTTATGACGAACAGATTAGAAAAATGCTCACCTCTAGTTCAAAAATAGATGCCAACTTAACTGTTGGTGAACTGAGTTTCCATTACGAGCTTGCCAAAATCATCATTTGTCTGTGGCAATTCAGTTGAGAACAGAAAGGTCTCAAAATTTTGTGCTTAACTCTGTAGTATGGAAGTTCGTGATTTTTTTCCTTTCTGTGTTTCTTTGATGGGGATAATAAATAAGAACAAATATACATTTGTTAGACAGCCAGAATTTTATTACTTGTTGACTTTAAACTGGCAAATACTGCTTTGGTCCCTTGCTTGTTAAGCTTCGAGCATTGACTTAATCCCTTTTTCTTTTTTTTTTCTGTCTTTTGTTTATCAATCCTTTTCCCTGATGTGGTATGAAATTGATTTTGCTAGATATATTTTGGAGGGCAAAGAATTGGAGTTTTACATGAAGAAACTCCAAAGGAAAAAGGGAAAGGGTGCCAGTGGTGCTGCCTAGATCTCAAAATTTTACTACCAGAAATGTTATCTTATTGTACTTATCTTTTTCACCTTTGCAAATTGCTCTAGCTTTCGAGAATTAGATTGAACTTTTCAATTGTCATACTAATGAATTTTTGTGGAGAATTATGTCAAATCTTTTTCTTCTGGTAAAGGCTTTGATCTTCTTATTGGTAATAAATTAGCAGCATGTTAACTGCTGATGGAGTTCAAGTATTTGTTAAAGACGATGAGAACTTCTAAGCGAAGTGCAAAATTAGTTGATGAGCAAAGGATAACAAGTCTTCAAATTGATCGATTCGTGCTTGAACAACTACTTTCATTGTTAACAGCCAAGGGCACAATCCTGAGCAAAGGATAACAAGTCTTCAAATTGATCGATTCGTGCTTGAACAACTACTTTCATTGTTAACAGCCAAGGGCACAATCCAAGATCGAGTTCTATTGAGCCCTTCTTGGTTCAATGCAGAGGTGTTCCAAACAATTTAGGCCTTCGCAATGAATTTTTTATTTTTTTAATTATAAAAATTAATAGAGCAAATGATCCTAAAACAAGTTGTCTGATCACGTAACGTAGTGTGTTATAAACTTTTATGTGTAGCACCAGCATAATATAATTTGTTACGTGTGTTACATATGTAATGAAGTTTGTTGTGCGTGTAACACGGTTACGTATGTTATAGTTAGAGGTAGTATTTAAAATAAAAATAGCATTTTAGGAAATAATTCATTTATAATCTCAACATGTTTGTTCTGATTAGCCACAAAAAGCTATTAAGTACATAAAAGAAGTAAATACCCAGAATTGGTAAGAATTTATGGAAAATGACACTTTGTCCGAAAATGTTTTGACACCCGAAGTGATCGATCCTCATAAAGTGTGCGGGTTCCACGTGAATTAAATAATGTCCAACCCCCGAGGTGTGTGTGTGTTCAGTCACTCCCTGTGTCAACCATTATGTTTCCCATAATTTATTCATACGTATTGATGAACTGTCAAAAGTGAAACCTTGAATACGGAGTGCATCAATCTGGATGTTCTTGAGTGACTCCTGCAAAAGAATTTTTTCACGTATTTGGATATCCTCAATTATTTTACAGAAATAAGCAGGGGCAAAATAAGTTGGCATATTGCCGGAAAAAACTATAAAACCAAATGGCACTCTATAATAATTCTTGAATAGTAACAGAAATGTTACCCTCAAGAGATTCATCAAAACCCTCGTGTGATAAACGAGCAGACGTAACAAATCATCGTGTAGAGTTTCTAACATGCACATAATTTTCTAGATAATCTGCGACTGAATGAAAAAAAGCAATTAAAGACATGCGACTAACCTTAAAAGGTGGATGCAGCAATCGACCAACATCAAAATTTGGATGCTTGGAACTCAAAATGTTCTCCGTAAACAAATTATAAATTGCAAATAAATCAATAATTAGAGATTTCGGAAAAATAAGGTTGAAAGGAAAAAAATGTCTACTCTATGACAGTCAATCAGTAGTCGTTGAAATCATCCTTACAAAATTTTTCATCATTTGTCTCGTGAATGCTACCTTGCAACAATCCGATGCCCTATAAACTCCCTTAGTATCCTCCATAATGCAAAACAATATCTGGATCATCACATTTATAGAAAAATGAAGTGAGAACTAATAATATATACGAGCACCAACGTCCAACTGTATTTATTTATATAAAACATACATTAAAAAATATAAATGAATCCAAATAATCAACACCTCAAAATAAGCATTTTGAAAAGGCTTGTTTTAATGCATAAGAATATCTCACATTTACTTGTGACTCGGTAATTTTATGAGAAACAAGCATCCAAAAAATTAATTTTTAGCTACACCTTTCTCATTTGGACTCAATGTAGTTAAATGATCAATTTTCAAATTCCATCAGTAAAATAATAATAATAATAATAAACTCAGTTCTATCCAAGACGACAAGTTTTGCTCAGAGTTGGTACTTCTTCTATTGTCACACCGATATTTCAAATAATCAAATGTATCTAATAACTCAAACAAAGCAAAAATTATGAATACGTAACACAATGAACTATCTTCAGATTTTTGCGAACACAAACAATAGCTCACCTGGGTATCAACTACTACAAAAATAAACAAAAGATACTCAATTTTCTTTTTAGTATATTTTCTCGTTTCCAAGGCGGAGAGTCTTATTTTCCGCATCTCCAAGCAAGATTGGTTGGATACTTGGATTAGCCCACTTTTTTGTAGGTTATATATATTCACTTATGTGGCTTTTTTTATTGCCTCTACATTAGGAAATTTTTTTCTTAGAACGCATTAGCTGTCTGTTCTCAGGTTGGGTAGTAAAGGTTGGAGAAAGATTTTTGCTAGATCCCTTATTTCCCTGTAATTGTAATTCAATTGGTTAGAACACTGCCCTGTCCGAATAAATGATTCATCGAAATAATGAGTCACTATTGATGTTATGGTTGTGACTCTCAATTAGGAAAATAATTATTGAAGATGGCACGTTGAATTAAAATTGGAAGAGGGATGAAAGTGGTAGACAAGTTTTAAGGGAACAAAATATTGATGTTGCGTGTTGGAGTTGAAAAGCAATCAATTGTATCAAATTTATAAGGAAAGAAATGCTTTTCCAATTGAAACTTCATGCGACCGCACTAACACACACTATGCGATCGCACAAGGGCTATCAGGGAATTTCAGCTGCCAATTAATCTACTCCATGCGACCGCAAGGAGTATACTTGTGCGGTCGCACAGTAAAAATTTTAGGTGACAGCGAATTTTTTCCTTTACGTGATTTTTAACCTAGTTTTCATATTTTCTCCTTCTTTTAGGGTTTAGCTTGTGTACTATAAATATAGGGGTTCTCTTTTCAGTTTAAGGTGTTACAATATAAACTTTAATTGCTATTGTACTCTCCTTTCATAGTGTTGAATAAAACACCGTTCCTTTTGCCGGTTCTTCTTTTATTTTCTTTACTTTAATCTTGTTCTTGATATTATTTGTGATCTTGTTAATTACTTCAATTACAACAAGTGGTATTCATTAAATCTCAATTCTTGCATTATTGGTCATCGATCTCAACAATTGATTTTGACACATCTGAGATCACCAAATGTTCGGGAATCAGTTGACATTTACTTGCCAACCACACTCAAATTTGTCAACAAGCAAATAAGAACATTAAGTTTGATGAGTAGTATCTCACTGATGGCTAGATTGACCTCCAAGTAATGATAAGCAATTAACCCTTTGCCTTTGCACTTGAGCGGCATCTTTACGAGCATAAAAGAAAAATATTACATCAATGATAAGCAACAGGAAGAAATTCTAGATTACATCATACTTTTATCCCAAATATGTTAGGGGAAGAGTTGCTTACCTCCAAGTTTAATTTTGGGAGACAAAGAATAAGAACCAACAATGTATCGTCTCTAAAGAACTCTTTAGTTAGTTTCAAACAAGCTTCTTGAATATTTTCAAATTCACAAACACCACAAAGAATTGATTTCATCTCCCCGATAAGGAGGTCTAATTTCGTCCAGTGAAATGAAAGTCAATTTTGATGACAATATACTATGTTTTCAAGGATCCACAAATAAGCAAAAAAACAAATGTTGATGACCGCTGACAACAAAAAATGCTTACCATAGTTGATATTCCCGTCAAAGAAACAAATTTACGATGGAACAACCCACAAGACAAAAACAGATTGAATATTGATGCTACAAACAAGGCTAATATTTCATATGAAAAACTTCTCAATACTTCCTATCTTACTCTGCATTCATCCCTAAGCAAATTCTCCTTATAATTTCAAAATTATTTTCCCATCAAAATGTAAACCAAAATAAAAGAAAATTCCCATTCAAACAAATTAAATACAAAAGGAAAATTTCCAACACCCTCGGAAATAGAAATAAACCAATCTTCGAAGAGTGCATAAGAAACTTACCATTTAATCATGCTTACGTCCCACGGTGTCACCACCAGCATCCTGGCAAAATAGCAGGGCCCTGGTTTCTCGTACAACATCGATAGTGGTCTGAGGTTTCTTGGGTTTGAATAGATTCTTCATAGAACTTCTCCTCACAACCTTCTAAATAAAGTTCTTGAAATTCGAAGAAGAACTCGATATATGTTGTTTCGAATCAACCTTCATCATCACAACCGCCGTCTCTTTTTCATTGACAGAATTTGGAGGTTGAGATTCCACAGGCATAATTGACTTGGAAAAAAGATCTTGAATCTTCCGTTGTGGGAGAAAGATAAATTTACATGTTATACTATTATTTGGGTTTTTGTTGATGTTTTCTTCTGGAAAACAATATACCCAATTCATAGGACAACAAATTTTTTTTCTTTATTTGCCCTTCCTAAATTCTTGCGTTTTCTCATGCATGCTTGTCCAAACTTTCAAGTTTACTCGTGATTATATAAATAATTTTTTATTAATCTAAACTAAAATAAAAACGTCACATTGAAATAAAATAATTCTCTTTTTTGTAGCCAAACGTGCTTTACAATTAGAATTACGTAGATTTGGTTAGCCTTTGCAGACGAATATAATTCATTTTGGATTTGGAAATGGTAAGAGAATTGGACATTGCAAGCCTTGAATTTTTGTATAATTGCATAAAATCCATGGAAAATCAACATTTTTCATTGCATAAAATCCACAGAATATCATCCCATGCGTGTTTGAAAGAATTGATTATAAAAGTTAAAATGTAAAAATCAGTGTTGGCCGCATCTTATCATCTATCTAAACCTCAACATATCTAAAGCCTAGATGCCATTCCTCGCGCCGTGTAATATCTGTAATCAAGGGAACTTCCTGATTCCCATCAACAGTTCTGCCCGTCCATTTTCAAAAGCAATCCATTTGGTGAATTCTGTAGTTGTTCGAGAACTGATGCTTCTTCAATTTATACAACCCGTGTCGTAAGATTAGCTGTGGAAGTGTCGCACTTTCTCCATCAAATGAAAATAATCAGAGCAAAACCGAGACTTCAGATGGTTAGCAGCTTCAGCATCTAAGGCTCTTCAAAATTCTTTTGAGCTCGTCAAGAACTACAGGAGGATCAGCATAGGACCCACTGAGATATATGGGATGGTACTCCAGCCCCTTCCATCCAGCAATAAGCTCAAAATGAGGCCTTCTGTATTCGCTACTAATTATCTCTAAAATCACTGCTCCGGGTGTTGCAGAAACTATATGGGTTAGCCCGGCACCATGAGCACCGATAATGACTGAGGCATCTTGGATGGCCCGAACTTGTTCTTTCATGGACATGTGGGCAAACAGTCCGTTGATAATATTTAATTTACAATCCGAATGCTTTAAAGCCCAGTTCTTTACAGAATCAAACACTTGTTGTTCATTGCTAAGTCTCGTTTGCACCTTACCACCGTGACGTGGATGTGCTAGATAATCCTCACGTCGTACAAAGAGGACGTTATGACCGGCGACTGGCTTAGGGACATGGTGTCTATCCAGCGGCAAATCAAAGGCAGCTCTTATCATCTCCCCAAACTCAGACAGTCGAGCAGTCTTCCGATCATCTGGATTTTGCCACAGATCATGCGCAGAAGCTCCTTGACAGTTTATGTTTTCAGTTAGTCCTTTGAATAGGGCAGTTTCATAACCCAGTGGGGAGAGGATTGCATGGCGGAAACAAACTGGACCTCTAAAATTTTTAGCATAATTAAGGCTCGAGAACAATGCCCTCCACATTTCTTCCAACTGGGTCTGAAAATAATATACAAATGGAGAGAACATCAATGCAAGTGTCGAATGTGCTCAATGACTTACAAGGATGTGCAAAATGCTAAATGCCTTGAATTCAAGAAAGTTAAAGTCACATTAGGATTTTTAAGTTTCTAGCAAAGAGTGAACAGGTCGACAGATACGATTACTGAATCTTTCAAGTGACACGTAGATACATGGTGGATTTTAGGTAAGTTCCTGAAGTCTTTCGATGTAGCTTGTTAAACTGGCAATGAAGAGTCGGACTTCATCATAACTTAACAAGCTTTGGCAAAACCAAAATAAAGTTAAAGAAGGGGTACCTCACAGTGGCCATCTACAAAAACCAAATGAGGTCGATTAGGCAAGCCAGTGACCCTAGAGGCAACATAAGCACTATACCAGTCTGTAACCGTGTGAAACATGTTTGCATATTCATAACGTGTCACCAAAAGTGTTGGCTCCTCGATCCACTGAAATAAATCCAGAAGAGAAATGTGAAAACAAGTAAAGCGAACTTGTTCGTACAAAAAACAAAGATGAAATTCGAGCAGTTACAATTAAGATAATCCATCAGCCGAATTCAGTTGCAAAGAAGATCGTTCATATAATTTTACAAGCAAACAACAAGAATAAATAAATTTTGTCCTGTTCACTTTCTTAGATCCTAATAATTTAGGTCTCATAAAATTAGCAAACGTAAATGCATTACATAGAACTTCCCTGTGCCTACATCGAAGGGCAAGGAGAAGTAAATTCACTGTAACAGAGAATAATCATAAAGACTACAGAACACGAAAAATCTCCCAAATAATAGAACCCAAACACGTCCAAACAGCTTCCCTTAAGATGAATTCTGCATAAATTTTGAACAATCAAACGATGCCAAAAAGAGATGCAGATAAATTACAGGTAAAACGTAGAATGACATGGTTGTTTGCACCCCACGAGTTGTTGAAGAAAATCCATATTAGTTTTCAACTATCTGATCAGATTACTCAAATCCACAATTATTCACCTCCAGATTACGGCGTTTCTCTAAGTAGTAAGCTTTACAAATTACAATTTGAAAATATGACATATATGAGGAACTGAGATTCATCTATGTTAATCAAACACTTCAATCCAACACAATCTTTAATTTTTTTTTTTCTTTTTCTACTTTTTGATTACGTAAATCCACTTGGATGGAACTCCAAACTATCAGGATTATCTTCATCCCTCAAACAAATAAAATACTAACCAACAAGATTCTAAATTCTTTCATTTCCAGTAATGCGTATGAAAACCCAATCCCCATTTCATTAATTGCACCCTCTTTCCAACAAATCCAATGATTAAACAGTTAATGAACATAAACATAAACGTAAAAGAATTAAAACACCAAATGAATTTAAGCCCAAACAATAAATTCAACCCCAAAGATCAAAACTTTAACACATCTAACCAAAACCCAGATTCCAAGAACAACATAAAACTAACCTCAGAACAAATGAATTCAGTGGAATCAGCTAACCGAATCGAATCCACCAATCCACGCATCGTGTGCCTATCAATCGCACCTTCTTGAACATAATTATTCAAGAATTCCTCATGTACTAGCCTCTTCCCGTTCCTCGTTTTATCACTAACCTCAATCTCGAACGCACCAGCTTCGAAATTCGGTAATTCTTCATCTTCTCCTCTTCCGATCACACTCTCCAACTTCTCTCCCCCTTTCGACATTAAAATCCTCTCTGGAACCATCCGGATCCTCCCCCCTTCGCATATCGAGCTCCTCAAAGTCTCACTATAAAAACACCTGAACCACCCAGCACCACCGCCTCCGCCGCCGGAGCCCAATTTCCGGTTGGTTTCCGAAATGGGTTTCAAGGGATCAACCCGCTGAGTGAAGCCGTTACCAAAATAGGCTTCGCAAGAGCGAAAAGGGACGTTGGGGTTCTGCGACCAGGGGAGATAGGAAGGCAATATTGGCCAAGGCTTGACAGTAATCGAGAGGTGGTGAGAATTGTTTTCCGTTAATGAATAGTGGTAAACCGGCGACCGATTGCGGTGGAGGTGGTGATGGTGATCAGGGTGGGAAGAGAAGTAGAGGTAGAGAGATACAGAATTTAATGTGAAGAGAGAGAGCAAGATTTTCAGATTTTTGCTGTTCATCTTCTGTTCTCGCTCTCTCGTTTTCCCAGTGGCGATGATTTTATGATGTATTTATGGTGACGTTAAAGTGTCTGTACAAAGCTTAAACTAAACTCAAAACTTAACTGAGGGTTTAGTTTATGTTGTTTTATTCATGAAAGTAACTAATGGCAGATAGACACGTGGAATATTAAATTAGTTTTATTACTTTAAATAATTTATTTTCCTTTAGAAATAAAACTCAATACTTTTTGGCAATTCTTATTCTGTAGTAAACATTTATTTATTTTAATTATATAAATAAATTCAGGCAAAATTGTAGATGAGGTCCAGAATCTTTTTAAAAAGTGCGGCATGGCCCATACATTTTAATTTTTACACCACTATCTCAAATGTTTGCAGAAATATGTAGCATGGAGTCCTTAGAATGTAACCGTATAATTTAGGGAAAAAGGGAAAAAAATTCTCGTCTTTCCCAAACAACCATTATCTTCCAAATACAATCATGTGATTTCATCGCTTTTAACATTATTCCACACCCTCCCGCCCATTCCACTTTGTCGTCGTGAAACCAAGAATATTTTTTTTTCCTTATATACAAGGACAACAAACTCAACTGCAAAACCACTACAATTTAGGTCAATATCTTGGCTAGTTGGTTCAATTCCCTTATTTGAGTGGTAGTAATGAATATGGATGTCGTGGTGCATGTTTGATTTCAAGTGCAGTAGATTTCATTTTTCAGTTAGGTTTCTTATTTGAATTTTTATTTTATTTATTTAACATTCTTTTATTCTCTTTTTGCTTTATTTAATCCTCTTTTAATTCAAGGTTGAGATACAATTTTACCGTTATAAAAAATGGTCAACGAAAGGTCAAGCTCTGAATATTTTGTCAATTAATGGTCTTTTGAATTGTTACCGTCCAAAGGTTCTTGTTTGCATGTCCTTTTCAAACACCTGAAAAGACCACTAATGTAGAAGGTTTAGGACTCACTATAATCTTTCAAAAGATTTGAGACTAGGCTACAATGTTCCAATAAATTTAGGAAAAATTGTGGCCAAAGTATCAAACCTTTCATTAAT